TGGGTGGAGATAGTGATGCCCCGTGGCACCACTTGTCACCCCAGTGCTAGTGTTTCCGAGCGTATACCTGTGAAAAGCCTGCTTTTAGGAATAACACTGTGGAGGCACTGAGCTTCATCACTATGTTGAGAACACTGTGAAATAATGAGCCTATAGCAACATTGAAGAGAAATTATGGAAATGATGTCATGATTTTGGCTTCTTAGTATTTTTCTTTGCATAGTGGATGGTATCCATTTATTCCCATGAAAAAATACTGTGGCTCAGCATCCCAACCAGTCCAACACAAACACATCTTAAATGGCATTTAGAAACAGCCTTTTCTGTTTGTCCAACCAATGGTTGACGAGGGGAGTGTTCCAGACATTATTTCTGCAATTTTGTTTGGTGATGTTATAGTGGTGCTAAGAAAATTACACACAGATTGATTATCCAATTCAGGATAATTATAGATTAGAAATGTCTTAATAAATTATTGGGTAACACTTTACAATAAGACTAGTTAATGTATTAACTAACATGAACTATCCATGAGCAATACATTTGCTACAGTATTTATTAATCTTTGTTAACATTAGTTAATAAAAATAAAGCTGTTCATTGTTTGCTCATATTAGTTCACGGTGCATTAACTAATGTTAACAAGATTTTAATAAAGTATTAGTAAATGTTGAAATTAACGTTAACAAATATTAATAAATGCTGTATAAGTGCAGTTCATTATTAGTTCATGCTAACTAGTGTAGTTAACTAATGTTAACTAACAAACCTAATTGTAACGTGTTCCCAATTATTGTAAAATATTTAATTTAGTTTAAGTTTCATGAGATGAATAATATATTCTAATTATGATGCTATAGTAACATCCATCATAAAATGTTAGCTTATTCATAGCAATTATTATATAAATAATAAGGCAAATGTATGTACAAAATAATTTGAATATGTATGTAAATATAGAAATATAAACATTAATTAAGTTTAGGTAAAAAAAACACAACTTTTCAAAATCATAGTCAAGTGTCAACAAAACATCAGTGTTTCGAGGTCAGTTCAAATAAATTAAAAGTGTTCGTGATGACATTTCCATAATATCACATTCATAATGCAAAGAAATATTAGCTTCTGCATGTACTGTATTTATAATAGCAAAATAAATATCCTTTAAAGTTGTCTCTGGCTGGCACATTAAACATATAGACATAGCACACAGTTTCTATGGTTAAATACTATCACAGCTGTAGAGTTACATGTCAAGGACATTTACTAACACATCTAAAAGAGAAGAGACTTGTATAGAGAAAACTAAATAATCTATTCCATGAATGGATTTAAATGTAAAACCCAGCCATCTAACGCTCCCGTCTACACCAGAATAACATCCCGTTAGGTCAAAGCGTTAAACGTCTGGTGGTGGGGGGTGTGTGTGGCACAAGTCACGAGATGACAGATGATTGCATCATCCTAATGCTGCCAGGAGAGGCTGGGCTAATGTTGACACAAAACCTAATACTTCCTTGCAGAGGAACAGGCTGGCTCAGGCTCGGCCTCATCCCAGAGCAGGGCGCTATACGAGGGCCTTCAACACTGCAAGCAAAAAAAAACCCTGAGCGCTGCAGGATTAGGACCCGGCGTCCTCGCTTCTCTAAACGTGCGAGAACTACCATTTCTCACACTTTCATTAAAGCAGCTTTCATTTTTATATTTACACAACTACACAAACAAGTATTCAAGAACATTACAAATCATTCAAATCATTTGAAACAATGATAATATGGGAGAGTAAAGGCATTCTGGTTAAAAACACGATGTCAGGGTGTGTTGGGAGGGTGTATACGGCTCAAGTCATGTAGAAAACACACTGCCAGGACCAAAATCCACTCATGTCAGCGGGAATATGGTATCCCGCTCGCAAAGCAGAGCTAATTAAAAAACAACACATCGCAGGAGGACGCCCCCACGGTGCTAAAATAGAACTATCAGCACACCAGGGGATCGTCCACAACTTCCTACTTCGAGCAAATTATCCCTGGACCAAGACTAACAACAGACTTGAGCCAGGTTCAAGGACCAAAGGGGAACATTCAAACACTCAGCATTCAAATAATGCAGTAGGCCTATACTGTTAAATAACACTGTGATATTGCACTGCAGAAGTTATGTCATATCTAGCCTATCTTGCACACATACTGAGTGCACAGAAAGCCTCCCTTGCATGTGGTACAGAAATCCTAATGTCTATTTGAGAATAATTCAATTCACGGGTTACAGCCACTAAAGCCATCTTTGCCGAAAACCTATTCTGCCTGCATTTTAAACAACATTAATATAAACTTAATTATAATTACATTTAGCCTAATTTAAACAGTTTTTACAGCTTTTCTGATTTTAAAAGTTAATGTTCTGATAACAAAAGATAAAAGACTCCAAACTTTGTAAATGTTTTTTAAATGAGAGATTTAATAGTCTATATTATAGTCTAATTTAGAGAATGAATAATAGTCTATTGAGGTTATTTAATATTTCTTTTCCTGTCTCCTTTGAGCAAGCAAGCAAAAAAAAAAAGAAAGAAAGAAAGAAATGTAAAAAAAATATTGTGCAGGCTGTAGGCTATCTATTGTAGACTAGTGGCGTTGCAATTCAAATGAATTCCGATTAATTTGCAATACAGTAACGAGAATTCCCACTAATAGCTTGAAAACACAATTATATTTCCATAACCTGTGTCTTTAATTGGCACTAATGCAAAGGTCTGCTGAGCCATTTAAAGAATATTATATGCAGATCGTAATTCCAAAGCTAATCCTCTAATAACGAAAGGCTGTTATTCCAAGTTACTCTTGAACTACAGCGAGGTGAAATTTCCGCGCCAAAACAAGCTATAAATTCCCGCCGGTAAGCTCGTGCTGTAAATAGCTGACAGAGAGGTGTGAATATGAACGTTTGCCCAATGTCGTGATTTACGGTTATAATGATTATAGGGCATGAATCAATTGATGCTAGCATGTCATTAGGCGGAGTTCCACCAGACACGGCCAAAGGCTTCAACTTGGAGCCACGGGCGCTTTGCGGGGTTGACAAGTACAACCTAAATGAACGTCATAAAAGTCAAAAAGGTGCCAATTACATCTACTAAGTGGCCCGTCATTGAGAAAAAAATAAACAAATATTACTGCTAGCTACCTGTGTAGCACGCGCGTAATAGGACCTCCATTGCAGAATAATGCAGGAATGCGTAATGCGAGCAAAAAGAGATCAGACAGGAAAATATGATTTACACTAACCTAACATCTGATTGACATCCAGTCTTAGAAATCATAACAGAGTTAAGATTACAAAAAGAAAAATAATTTTTAAAAAGGAGAGGACTCCAAAGACAAGCATATAGGCTAAATCTAAACAGTCCTTATGAAGGCTAGTCTAGATAATAGCCTATAGCCTACTCAGAAAACCTCTTTCCCATGTTTGGCATGTCTCGCGCTACCTGCCGTCTCCAGGGTAATGGAATATAAGACCAGAGCTATGAAATTAATTTTGTTAACACTAACTCTTCACGGTCAAGCTGGAAAAATCGGCGACTATTAAAGTCAGGCGGTAGATATGGCCTTTTAATTGTTGCTTGGTGTCCGATAGAGAAGCCCCAGTTTTCACAATGAGAGAGGGAGCGATATTTCAAAACCCCATGACACAAAAGCTATAGCTAGAGTAGACAAACACGGGAAGAAGACGACATGCAACATAAGGCGCCCTGCGGTCGGTCCACACTCACAGCTTCAGGACCGGGTGAAGATCAACACAGCACTCACCCACTGAGCACATTCAAACTATCCCATACCATGACCAGGCCTTCATCATTTTATAGAAAAGATGAATAAGAAGTCCGATTCGAGCAGAATGTAATGGTTGCACACGATGTTAAAATATAGGCTTTTTTTAACATTCATGATCAAAGGCATTCTGTAATAGAACAATAGAAACGACCACGAGTGCATACACCACCACCACCACCACCAACACCAACAACAACAACAACAATAGCCTAATAATAATAATAATACTAGGCTATATATATATATATATATATATATATATATATATATACACACACACACACACACACACATATATATATATAGGCTACATATATATATATATATATATAATGCTATTAATACTTATAATACTAGGCCTAACAACAATTATAAATTACCTTAATAAATTAATGGAAACATTTGATGAATAAATAAAAATAAAAATAAGTAGGGAAAATGTACGTTTATTATCTGCGAGCAGACAAGAAATTAAAGAATAGGCTATATATATTTTCCAGAAATATAAACGCGGAATGTCTAATTTAGGGCTAAATATTTTCTGGCGATTTACCATTGGCATGTAAATAAAGGTAAAATTAAGATAGGCCTACATTAATAATCTGGGGTGACCATCAATCTGCGTTAAATAAACCTATGCGTGAACGACAGGTGATCAAACAATTATGTCGGCCTGGATTAATCGAAATAAACGAAGAAACGACCACTTTAAATGAAATCGCTTAATTTTCATTCCCATTGCGTTGCAAATAACAGCCCAAAGGTTCCTTCAAAATCCTTCAAAGGTTCCTCAGTTTAGAAACAAGAAAGAAAGAACAAGACAACGCAGGTAATATGCTACAAACTAAATGTATTAAGCTATCTATAACTATATCTTAAAGGTCTAAAAATATAAGGACTAATCTTCACTGCTCCAAAGTACACTTGGTGGCTCAATTGTAAAACTAACACCATTTTAAGACGTTGACAAGTTCAACAAAATCATACCACCAACTCCACCATAGCTACAGTCCAACTTTACGAACGGAAAGACTAGAAGTATCATCTCGTGCGTAAAAACGAAAATTGTGTCATGTCTTTGCTTGATCACAGTTGAATAAAAAAAAAAACTAAAGCAATGAACCTGCGCGCGTGTTACACTAAAAAAAGAAAGAAAATCCATGCCCTTACTGTTGGTAGTCATGTTTGCAGTAAAGTTTCCTCTCCCGGAAGTAGCAGCTGGTGGTGAGCGGTTGTTGACACACGGCGCATTGCAAACACTCCTCGTGCCATGAAGACTCGTTGACGCGCATCAGAAAGCGGTCAGATATCGGCCGCTGGCACCCCTCACACACCGCCTGGTGATGGCACTCCGTCCCTGGAGGGCAAAAGCATCATTTTAATACTAACACACTGACTGCATCTGAATTTTTAAAATAAGGATTTATAAATGGGCTACTGAATAAGTGGCTAATCTTTTATTATAGGTTACTATTGCCATATTAAATAATATGACAAAATAAATAGTGTGTGAATAACTTTCAATTTACCACCATACTGTATGTACGATGGGATGTATTATTACTAGGCTATTATAATTATTAATAATCATTATTATATACGCACGAAATTCAAATAACGCAACTTTCAGCCAAAACTAAATATAAAAAGTATACATACATGCTAGCTATACATGATTGCGACGATTATAGCGATATGTGATGCAAAATAATTGACAATATAATATTTGTACTTTGTGTTTATATAGCCTACCCACAAAAACATTTGCAACAAAAAAAAAGACTATAGAATTATGTAGCAGTTTGTTGTTGTAGTTGTTGCTTGTCAGTCTGTCTGTTTGCTTGCGCGCGCGCGCGCGCGTGTGTGTGTGTGTGCAACATGTGTCTGTGTGTGTGTTTTATTTAAATTTATTTAGGCCTGTTTTTATTTTTTACCATAAGCTTTTTATTTATTCGCCAGGATTTAGACGTTCAATTTGTAGTTCAAATGAAGCAGTCATAATAAGATATATTTCTGTAGGTGTGAGAATGAGAAATAGGCTAAAATTGTTTGTACCATGAAAATGCCAATTTTGAAGCATGGAAATAAATGCATTACGTTGCGCATAAAATGTAAGAGAAATGGATGTTATACATCAGTTGTGTGCTGTGGTTATTTTATCTGGGAAATAACTTTGATAATTGGACAGATATGCGGCCGGCCGGTAAAATGCATGACACATGAGGAGGATGCATCCCAGCCGCTTGCATAGCTCGACTGCCACAGTTCCAGCTGTAGTTCTCTTCAACATCTTGATTTAAAAAAGCATTATAACATTCTCAGAAATTATCTTTTCGTATTCTCCGAATATATACTGAAGACACTGAATCACTTACCCAGCATAACTCCAAGTGTAGCCTGTCCCGACCGCAGCGGATGGTCTTCGAGTTTTATACCGTCCAACATCTTTAAATATTCCCACTGTTACCTGCAAGGGAACTCCGTCCTAGTGACTCGGGACCTGTTGTAATATCCATAACAACACATTTGTCAGAGTTGTCCACGCTTTAAATCCCCAAACTACAGCACACAACATCAGTTGATATTACAGAAATCTCAATCTAAGATGGCCAGCTCAAGAAAACTTTTCATTGCAATTGCCACTTGCAAGATTACTATATGCTCTTGATCAAACCTTGGTACAGAAGCACAACAAAACATAACTATAAAACTTAAAACACGCACTAAATCACCTGTTAATTACCGGCCGAGTCAGTCTAGACGTTTTCTGCACGAAGCGCAAAGTTTGTATCCCGGCAGTGCGCTATCACGAGCTGCAAGGGAAGATCCTCCCTTTCCTACACCGTGCACAAGTCGTCTCGACCCGCAAAACTTTTCAGGAAATTAGTACAAATCCACGAAAATATAAAGGAGATGTCTAAACGTTAACTCTTAAATTAGTGCACCATTCGGCTCCCTGCAGCTTGAGAAATCTCAAAACTGAGATAGGCTTGAGAGAAAGCACCCTCCCCTTTTGGTCGCGTCACTTCGCAGACTATTGACTGACTTAGGGATGCTATTGGTGCGCCAGTGTTCGTGCACTCCGCCGAGTGGAACTAAATGCGTTCCGCCTTCCAAATCGCATTGCCTCCCAAACTAGAGGCGCACAAGGATGGTAAACAACGTTACGAAAATTGTGGTGAAAATAAACGAGTCTGAAAACACAGTCTAATTCGAACTAAAGCTTTGCCTAAAGGAAAGAAAGAAAGAAAGAAAGAAAGAAAGAAAGAAAGAAAGAAAGAAAGAAAGAAAGAAAGAAAGAAAGAAAGAAAGAAAGAAAGAAAGAAAGAAAGAAAGAAAGAAAGAAAGAAAGAAAGAAAGAAAGAAAGAAAGAAAGAAAGAAAGAAAGATGTGAAATGCGCGCGACTCTTCTGTGTCTATAAATGTATTACTTAAAAAAATTTGTTGAGGACTCAAAATGCAACATTTCTACATCTGTGGGGAATCAACATCCATATCTGAAGTGATAAAAAAGAAAGCAAGAAAGAGCTGTTAAGTCAATATAGTGTATGTTGAAACAATTTTAAGTATATTCATTTAATTATAACTTAAAATATGGATGTTGATGCCCCACAGACTGTATATAGGTAGCCTATGTAGAAATGTTTTTTTTTAAAGCGGGAATAGGCTACATTTAGCCTATAGAACAGTCGCGCATTTTTTTTTTTTTTTTTTTTTTTTTTTTTACAATATATGATTTGCGTATTAATGAACAACTCCTTCAACCAATTTAACGAAATTACGACGCAAAAAATAAAACAGAACAAAAAGGTACATGTATTTTATCTGCAACAAAACACCATAAATAGGCTAACTGTTATTTGTATTCTTGATTTTTTTTTAGTAGCAGAAGTATCCCACACTTTGCATCGCAGTGTTTATGTGTGATTACGATGAATACAGAAGAAAACAAGTCATTTGTAATCTGTGGCTCTGTTTGCAATTAGCCTACGCGTAATTTCTTTTGTAATTAATCACAATAACGGCAAATTTGTAACATGCGTATTGTAATGTAAAATGTTACTGTTATTGTTGTTGTCGTAAATAGAGCTCTTTGGTTCCCCCCTCTCCTCTCATGCAGAGGCTGCTGGCTTTGATATCAGGTAGCGGAGCATCACGCCTGCCCCGTCCGCGTGCTTTGTGCTTTTGTGTCCATTATGAAGCCTCGAACCTTCTGACCCTCGTCCACGATGCACCTGGAGATCAGGGCCGATAACCACAGACAGCGGATGACAGAGTCAGATGAAATAAAATGCAGTCCTATTGGATGTCTGGGATAGAGTAATAATACTACCGATTAAACAGAAAAGATAAAAATCGAGCTAATTTTATTTAGTGCGCTTTGTTTGTTTCGTTCCGGCGGGACCGCTTTGGATAGATCTATTCTCATCCAAAACCAATAAACCAATCAAAAGAGGACGCATCTGAACAAATGAAATGATGCAACAGATAAGTGATGAATCTTTTATACATTTATTAAAATGTGTAGCTTCTTTGTAATTTGATTATTCTGTTACCCTGGCAATTTATTTAGGGGAGTACATTCTAACTCTAACCATTAAGACATTTCGTTCTTATTAAAAACAACGAAGACACGTTTAACTAAATTTTGCAGAGCATAATTTATAGCGGTATTGCGAGGAAACATTTTTTTTGCTCACCGTTTTGATCATGAGGGAAAACAATAAATCAGCTGTATTTATGGCAGCCCAATGCTTCACAAATATTTGAGACAGACTAACGATAGCCATGACTACCAATGATATACATGGACTACCTATTGAGAGCAATTGTTAGGATCCCAGTGCTGGGTATTTTTGGTTGAGACCCACTAATGGTTGCGCCTTTCATCTTCAGGTATTTATTAATTGCACGTGTCCTCAGTTGTTGCTGAGATTAACTACATAGTCAAGTTCTCGTTCTCCCTCTATTTATATATAAAAAAACTCTTTAAGTACCTAAAGGAAGCCTCTGTTAGAATGTTCTAAATTTTGTCGCAATAAGATAATTGATTTAGCTCATTGCATAGGCTATTTCATAATATATAATGGGATTTGGCCAGTCAAACGTCAGTTTTTAATATAACTAAAAACAACGACTTGCCTTCAACGCCTCAAGTCTTGTAGGCTACTCAAGCATGGGAGTTAACACGCTCTTTTCCAAACATCATATAGTACACTGAGAGGGAGGAATGCACGCGCTTTACTCCTCGCGCTATACATAATTCGTCACGCTCCCCTGTTACCGCCTCACTCCCGGGATTCCGTACTACCTCCGAGCCATTTAGGAGACTTCAAGCAGTCGCCAAGTGAGATACCTATGACGACCCCTCATTATAGAGTAGTCTAACCCCCACCAGCCCAACACCTTTAAAAATAAATGTCTTCAGTTGACACTCAGAAAACCATAGGCCACGGCGGCCAGTTCATTACAGTCCTCTAAACGGTTTATTCTCGGTCGAACTCAACTGATAATGTATTTTTAGTACTTTCTCCATTACTGCAGCATGCCGCATGATGATCAGCAAGGTCACTGATCACCAAATACTCAATCAATCTAAAGACAGGAGGAGAATCAAAGGACGAACTGTAGCCTACATTTCGATAATAACAAGGATAAATTGTGGGCTGAGATAGTCATTAGGTGGACCGTACACCAACAACTGGATACTAGGGACCTATTTAAAGCTTAAAGTATATAAAATACAATAACCTAATAATAATAATAATAATAATAGCTATCACTATAAAAAAAGTTGCTGCCTTATTTTTTGAAGTAGCCTAAATAAATTACTTAAAACCACAGACAGCGGATGACAGAGTCAGATGAAATAAAATGCAGTCCTATTGGATGTCTGGGATAGAGTAATAAGCTACAATCAACTTGGGTGTTTAAGTCATTTCAACTTAAATTACATTAAACTGACTATTAAAATGAGTTGAATCTTGTATAACATAAAAAGGTTGAAAATTGCTTAACTTATTTTGATGAGTTAAAGCAACGTAAAAACATATGTTGTCATAACTTATTGATCGTGTAATTTTTTACAATGTAATAACACAAAAACAGGCTAATTTTCTTTAATGGTGCGATGTAGCTACTGTAAAACATGTAGGCTACTGTATAAAAAAAATCAAACAAACAAACAACTTTTACAACCAAACGAAAAATAATTCTGAAAATGTGTTTAAAATGATAAAGTGGAAGATTTCATTATTCTACATCTGGCAGATCGCCTGTCATGGTTGCTGCCATAATGAGATCACATGACCTGGAAAACATCTTTATTTAACATCTATTAAACATTTCACGTTTCAGAATAATTCGCTATTCGATCGCAGGAAATTCGAAAATGTTCACGTCTTGTTTATGCTGCATCCTTGCAGATATAGGTCTAATTCCAAGCAAATTAGACCGAGTACGGTTGGAACAGAGGGACAGTTGAAACACCCTAAATAACTTGCGTGCTCATCACTTCTATAACCCGTGATTTTTCATGTGTGGAGTAAAAAAAAATCACGAGTAAAAAGAGATGCGCACGCTAGTTATTTAAAGTGCTTCAACTCCCTCTGTTACTCAGTCTACCTGAGTGCATCTTTAATTAAATTACAAAAAAAAAAAAAACGTTTTCACTATTTCCAAATGTAATGTTAAAAAACCTTGTGACTCACCATCATTAGAAAAGATCGATGCATCATTTACCTTGATTGAGGTTCACTGGACATCCTTTGTAATGAAACTAGAGCCCGAGGGTCGTTTTTGAGCCTAAACAAGATTTGTGAAAGGCTCCCCCTTGCGTTTCAATAATGATCTGCAGAGAAACGGTTAGGCCTAATGACAGACAGATTGCTGAGAAAATGTTGAGAAAATCAAACTTATTATTCGAAAGACGTTTGTATAAAGATGTCTGGATTAAGAGCAATTAATATAGAGATTGCATAACTTGTTTGATGCTCTTGAGATACTGGACATTCACAAATATCTGCTCTTGCGTCACAGTTTAAACACAAGACATGTCTGTTAAAAATCAGCTTGCGAACCAGCTAAGTCCAGGAAACTAGCTTAGGCTTGGTTAAGATGTTTTCTTTCCCCAGCAGGGATGTGCTATGAAGAAAGTAATTGCCGCAGAGAGGAATTAACTGTGTCCAAGGCCGTCAGCAATGTGCTGGTGGCGTGACTTGTGTGTTTTAGGGACTTGGCCTTTTGTTTGGAACTCTGGTTTACGAAGTGTTTCATAAAGACGGATCTCATTGGACAAGCATGAAAGGCAATCAGAACGAACGCCTTACATGTTTCGAGTCCCTTAAAAGTCGCTCGACTTCCGTCACTGGTGGCGCAAAGGCCCAAATGTTGTGCCCACAAAAGTTGAAAGGGTTTTAGTGGGCGCACGAGATGGGTTCTGAACTTTGGTCTCTAAAGAATTTTGACAAGGAGGCCCAAAGCAAGAAACGCAAATACATGTGATTTATGCAATGTTGCTTGAGGAACTCTGTTTAATTGTTTTCTTTCAGACACCCCTCCCTCCCTCTCTCTCTCAGCAGCAGGTGTGTGGCACGTGCACCACAGTGAGCGAGAGAGAGGGTGAAAAAGCCAATCTAAACTCAATAAAGGTTTGCAAGCTTTGCTACACTGTTTTAGTTAAACAACGCGGATAATTCGACCACAAGGTAAGAACAACGCAACATGCATTAAGAGGACTTGAACTGCTTGTTTATAAAGAAACGAAATGAATGAAATAATGAAAAAAAGAAAAGAAAAAACAATGTTATTGCAGTTTCCTAGCATACTGTATCTTTGGCTAAAATAAAGCGGCAATGCAAATATTTATTAGGCTATTTATTATTATAATATTATTTATTTAATATAATATTTATTATAAAATGAATATGTGAAATTGAGTGTGCCTATATATGTAATAATTGATCACAGGACAATTAAGAAACATATCAGGGTTTGATTGTTGTGTCCGGTCGCAATAATGTGTTATTCCACTATGTATGAAAAACGGGTAAAAAGCTCGTATAGGCTCTCTCTATATCCATCCAACCAATGAGCCTACTGACAGATTAAAACATGTAATGTTACGCTCAAGAAACGAAAATATAAAATAAAAACGAAGGATAGGCCCTGTTTTGTTTTGTTAAGTGTAGTGTTTCTTTTTCAAAATAAATCAAATCAAATTGAGATAGCATAAATTAGCCCAATCATTTCGTTGAGGGGAGATTTTCCCTCAAGTAGCCTATAATGCGATATATTGAATTAACGGCGAGTTTAACATTGTTAAATTTGCTCTAACTTGTTATAGCCTATTAATATTAATCATATAGAACGTGTTACAACAAATAGCCTGATAAATGATGCAAACAAAATCAAAAGCAACGACAACAATATAGCAAAATTCCGACATCAGCAACAATAATAGCCCTTAATAATAATAATAATAATAATATAGTACTCTGTAAAGGAATGTGCACAAAACTAGTGTCAATTATGACTCTGTAAATGAAGTCTGAAGTGAAATATTGGAATCTGTTTAAGCTAGACACACCTCAGATGTAATCTAATATCTCATTGAAATGATAGCAGTGTTGAGAGTTGAGGCGCAGCGCGATGAGACGCGCTCTGACAGCATCACTGCCATCTAACGATGCAGACTTCGCTTTTGATCGCAACGAAGTAACGTCATCGAAATAGATTTAGATATTTATTAGTGTAGTATCAATCGACAAATTTAGCTAAATGCATTTAAAATGATTTGTAAAGGAAAAAAATGTATAAAAACAAAAATAAATGCTGGACTACTACTTCTGGACAGCGTTCTTTAGATGACAATATAATCAATAATAATAATAACAATACAAAAAATAATTCGTTTAATATAGGAAATGTACACAGAGAGGCTGATTTTGAAGAAGAAGAAAAAAAAACTTTGTCAAACTCGTGCTACAATTTGTTATCATACCGTGTTATCTAACCGATTCTGCGCTTTTAACATAGGCTATAGCAAAATTATGTCTTAAAGTGAAAATTATATATTTTTATAAATATTTCTGGTTTTAATCTCCCTATTCTTTCCTTTAAAGTATATTTTCATTTAAGTCTCACGATTTGCACATTGGCATATGTTAATATAGCCTATAATAACAAGGCTATAGGCTACTGCACATTTAGAACGTTGTCAAGAAACATATGCTAGACACAATCTGAGTTTCGTATCGGATAAATCTTAGAGCTGTTTGGAGCATGCATGTTGATCCTTCACTTATCTTAACAAATCCTGAAAAAAGCAACCCTGCTAATGGCAGTGAGAAATAGACATAGCCTACAGTAAATTGTACGTGGCAGTGAACTTTCATGTTTGGTTCCACTTTGATCTTTTAATGAGTGTTTGCTATAATGAACCATTTCACTTTTCAGAGACAAAAGATAAAAGGCAGCTTTAAGTTATTTTCACTCATTTGAAAACATTCATAACAAAAGCCACTGAACAAGAATTAAATACTAATTCATAATTGAACAATAATTAATTCTACCATTCGGCGCAGCTTTTGTAATACATTTTTCTTTACAAAGTTATTTTCCAGACATATTCGTTATAATGTAAAACCACACACATTCTTGTGTAAGATTATTTTAGGCTAACAATAAATAATAAAATAAAATAGGCCTAATATTAACAAACAATTTACATTACAACGAGTGTAACACTT